GATGCGGTGCAGAAGCCATTCGAGGAAGATCCACAAACGCTGTCACAGGCCGCAGCTGCAGTGTCCAGAATTTGACTCAGTGCCAGCAGAGACGTGTTGCAAAAAAAGCTCTTTTGTAAAACTTATGATACTCTAACCCGGGGGATCACTAGCCGAGAGGATGCCCGGTGCCAGGGCTGAGCGATGGCGGCTAACCGCAGCAAGGCTGTTGTCCCGGACGTACACAGTGCCTGGATACAGGGCTCTCGCTGCTTCGTGATGCACACCGACATGTGAACCGCAAAAAATCCCCTCACCGTAACACTCCCGAAAAGACAGAAAGGCACTTCGGTGATGGTTCGAGTGACCATCAGCAACACGCAGATTTCCAAATTCTTGTAAAATACACATATCCATCATATGTCAGCAGCAGTCTATTTACTCGGGGGCAAATTAGAAGCGGTCCCCTAAATAGCCAAAGTGTTGCTATCGGGAGCAGCCTGTATTCATTCCAGAAAAAGACGAATGCAACGTCAGGAAAGGGGAAGACTGGATCTAAATCCAGCCTTCCTTTGCCCGCGGGTAACATGTACGGCTTTGTAAAATTTTTGGCGGGTAAAATTATTATCTCAGGAACCACAAAAGCTAGAAAGCTGAAATTTTGTGGGCATATTCCCCACCCACGTGCAACCCAGAAAATTTAAATTCAGTCTTCTTGTGTCTGCGAGCAGCACGTCCGGCCTCGTAGAATTTTGGGCGGGGAAACTGTTGTCCCGCGAGTCGCAGAATCCAGGAAACTGAAATTTTAGGAAAATGGCCCCCTGTCCAGTATGACATAGCAAATTCAAATTCAGCGTTCCCGCGCTTTCGGGTAAGACCTACGACCCGTAAAAAGTTGTGGCAGGGAAAATTATTATCTCAGCAATCACGAAAGCTAGGAAGCCGAAATATTAACGGTATCGTCCCCTCCCTAAATACAATCCCTCAAAAAACTTAGCCTTCCCGCATGCCCGAGTAACACTTTCGGCTCCGTGAAAGTTCCAGCGGGGAAAATCATTATCTCGGGAACCACGAGAGTTGGGAATCTGAAATTTTGAGATGATGTCCCGTACCAACGTACAACCCCGCTGATTTGGATTCGACCTTCACACACCACTGGTACTATGTACGACCCCCTGTAAATTTTGGCGGAGGAAGTTGTCTCGGGAACCACCCCCCGCCCTTTGGTACCGCTTACGACTCCATGAAATTCCTGGCGGGGGAATCGTTGTCTCGAGAACTATGAAAGCTGGGAAGGTGAATTTTTACGGTAATAACCTCTGCCCATGCACGACTTCGCAAATTTAAATCCAGCCTCCTGGCTTACTCGGGTATCACGTACGGCTCCGTGGAAGTTTTGGCGGGGAAATTATTATCTGCCTCGTGAACCAAAAGCTAGGGAACTGAA